TACTTTATATATAGTAGTTAGTATCTGCAAATCTCGAACTCCCCATTTATCCCTCCCCACCCCCCTCCCCCCTTGGTAACCATAAGTTTGTTTTCTATGTCTGTGAGTCTCTCTCTGTTTTGTTAGATAAGTTCATTTGTGTGTGTGTGTGTGTGTGTGTGTGTGTAAGATTCCACATATAAGTGATATCATATGGTATTTTTATTTCTCTTTTTGACTTACTTCACTTAGAATAATGATCTCCAGGTCCATCTATGTTGCAGCAAATGGCATTATTTTATTTTTCATGGTTGAATAGTATTCCATTGTATATGCATACCACAGCTTCTTTAAAAAATGATCATTTTGGATCATCAATTGGATCTTGTCTCCACATTCCACTCTAAGGGTAAAAGTATAAATGAAAGCAAATTGGCTCATACCAAATGATTCAGTTTTTAAGAAAATCTAGGATGTGTCTTAGACTGTTCATCTTTTTGGTTTGATGGGCTAAGCCAGTAGCTTTTTAACATTTATTTAAGCAGCAAAACACTTGTCAAATGAAAGTCCACCAAACCTCAGAATATGAAACATTAAGAAGTAGAGCATCTCTGGTCAGATCAGGGTGGAGGAGCCTGGCCCCTCCCCATCTACCCCTCTACCCTGAGAAGCCCACGTTAGGCATCTGTTCCACGTCATTTATTCCTAACCCTCAGTCCCGGCCCATGTTGGCTGAGGGTCACCGACAGGGCGTGGAAATACTCCGAGGGCTTCCCATACAGCAGGGAGCTGCACGTCTCCTGATCACAACTTAGCTGTCTCAGTCCGGGGGTGGCCGAGGAGAGATCTGGCTGCAGAGTCCGTGACGTCATCCTAGGACTGTCCCTGCTTCTTGCCTGAGCAGCCACCAGCCGGGCCCTCCTGCAGGTCCTGGGGTTGTTGTATATGTTGGCTGTCATTGTCACACAATGGTTTTGTTCAGAAAAAAAGTCCCAGAGTTGCAGTACCTGACTGATAATGAATTTGGGGTCCTGTTAGGACAATGTTTTTTGCTTTTTGACACCTGTGAGCCTTGCCCAATAAGAGTGATGCATTACCTGGATCTGAGCACGGGGAGACCTCTGATGAGCCCACATCAAGTGGCAGCCTGTGAAAACACGGAGGTCATAAAACACAGAGACTGAAGAAGTGCCCAGGTTAAGGGACGCTAGTAAAACACGACACCTAATGTGACAGGTGATCCTGTGTTGGACCTCAAACCTGGTGTAAAACTTTCATCTGTTGTATTAGGTCTCTTTGCAAAATTTAAATAAAATTTCTAGAATAGACGGTACTGTTGTGTCTCTGCAAATAGTCTGATTTTGGTCCTTGTTTTTTTAGGAGAGACACATGAAGCATTTTAGGGGCAAAGGGACATTATTGTGCCACTCACTCTCAAATGGTCCAGGAAAAGTGTGTGTAAATCAGAGTGAAGGAGAGGTCACGACGTGGTCACATGTTACCAGCTGGGGAATCTGAGTAGGTTACATGGGAAATTTTTTCTACTAGTCTTACAGCTATTTTATAAACCTGGAATTATTTTGAGAGAAAAAGTTAAAGAAATAACACATTAAAGAGTCAGGTATCCTGTTTTGTTACTTACTAAAAGCAAGAGCATGGATGGTTGTATTTCATACCCATTTTCAACAATAACTATTGAAACAGAGCTTTCTCAGTTACCATCCCAGCCTGGCCAGGGGCTTTCAGCTGTTTTCCAAGCCTTTGGGTTCCAGTGCAGTCCAGGTAATGACAGAAGTGTTCACGTTTACCCAGTCCAGGATGGGACCCCTGGCCAGCATAAATCCACCTTGAAACAGCCTCACACGGCCGGTGGCTCCATGCTTTCATGTTCTTTCATGTGCCCTGAAATTGTAACTGACTCTCTTACGTTTTAATACATTGCTGTAAAGAATGTTATGACTTGGAGTACACTTTTTTTTTTAATTTTGGTCATGAAACATCTATTTCCCAAGCTTCTTCCTTCAGATTTCTAAAACTTCTTTTAAATTTTAATTTAATTTAATTTTTTAATTGAAGTACAGTCAGTTATAATGTGTCAGTTTCTGGTGTACAGCACAGTGTCCCAGTCATTCATATACATACATATATTTGTTTTCATGTTCTTTTTCATTAAAGGTTATCTGATTACAAGATACTGAATATAGTTCCTTGTGCTATACAGAAGAAACTTGTTTTTTTTAAATTAGTTTTATATATAGTGGCTACCATTTGCAAATCTCAAACTCCCAAATGTATCCCTTCCCACCTGCTTCCCCCCAGTAACCATAGGATTGTTTACTATGTCTGCGAGTCTGTTTCTGTTTTGTAGATGAGTTCATGGTGTCCTTTCTTTCCTTTATATTTAGATTCCACATATGAGTGATATCATACGGTGTTTTTCTAGATTTCTAAAACTTTCGATTCTAGTGTCAGTAGGAAAAGAGAAAGTCTCACTAAACTGCCTCTCTAATTTGGAGCAAGCAGAGCGAGGGCCGTCATTCTCAGCTGCGCGTTTGTGTCTCTAGGAATTCAGCTGAAGAAGGTGCAGGAGCAGCGGGAGCAGGAGGCCAAGCGCGAGCCGGTGGGCAACGACGTGGCCACCATCCTGTCCAGGCGCATCGCCGTCGAGTACAGCGACTCGGACGACGACTCAGAGTTTGACGACAACGACTGGTCCGACTGAGGGGGCCGGGCCGGGCGCGGGCGGCGTGTTGAGGATGCAAGTGGTCCCAGCACCCGCGTCGTGGTGTTAAAATCCTGTAGCTTAGCGGCTTTTGTATCGATGATGTGATATTGCTTTTGCACATCCGAGAATTCTGGGTTTTTTCAGTATTTACTGTGTAATACTTAAGTGCCACTAAACATAGCAAATCGTGCTGCACATGAGGAAACACGCTGTAACTGTTGCATTGTCCTGACAACAGCCTTTGCATCCTTTCTCTTGGCCGTGAAAGTGTTTCGTGCGGGTTGGGTTCACTCCCCTCGGTCACCCTAATTCTGCAGACTTGCTGTGTGTCCTTGAAGCTGCCTGGTGTCAGGTCTCTGCAAGATTAATGGCTGTGTCAGAGTGATGTCTTCCAGTCAGTGAGGTTGTTTCAACTTTTTTTTTTAAATGCATTTCAGAAGGAGAGTTTGGTTCTAGAGAGAAAGGTTTGACGAGCAGGAGAGTCCTATCTTTCTGCTTCCATTTCTTGGCCTGGTAAGCTCTGTGAATTTGAGCCTTCTGTTGAAGAATTGCATTCCCTTTGCTCGCTTGAGAACCGTGGGCTCGGAAGGGCGCTCTCCAGGCAGGAGCCCCTGCGGGCGCTCAGGCGGTCAGTGCTCGTTGACCATTTCTGTACGAGGTTTCAGCCGCACAGCAGTCACGAAAGTGGGGAGCCGTCCTTTATCCTCCAGGGGCCGTTGGGGTGACCCTCAGGACACTCGGCAGCTGGGGGTCCAGCCTGCACAGGCCCGGGTGGTCTGGAGCTGGTTGCAGAGACCCGCACAACCTCTTTCCCAGAGCCGCGTCCCGGGGAAGCCAGCGGAGGCCTTGGTGCCGCAGAGATGGCTTCCGATGGCACCTCGCTCCACTCAGCCTAAATCCTGAAAGCTTCCATTGAGGTGGGAATAGATTTGGACAGCTTTTCGCCTTTCCTGGTGCTGTGGCCAACTAGGGCCCCAGCCTTCACTCTGTCCTAGAAGCACACAGGGTGGTGGGCACATGAGACTCGACCGGGTCCCTCAGGTCAGAGGAGACCCTTAGATGTAGTGCCACCTCCCTCCCCTTTTCCCCGATGTGCTCACCCAGGACCGTGGGCCGGTTTCTGGCCAAGGCTGACCCCTTGCAAACTCAGGAGTGAGAGCTTAGATTCCGCCATTCTGGAGGAAAGGTAACTGCTTCTTTGGAAGAAGTAAATGCCCCAGGCTTTGAGGTTAGATCTGGCTTCACAGATGCTCGAGGACACCTGACTCCCTGAGGACATCTGGGCCACGTGTCAGACGGACCACGCCTCTTGGTGACTGTCAGTTGTGGGCAGAAATCTGAAGCCAAAACAGAGCAGTTTGGGAGGATGGTCGGGATGGAAATGGAGCCTGATGGATGGGTTTTGTCAATGAGTTCTCCCATGGGGGTCGCCGGCCCCCGGTCACGTCTGTGTCCCCGAGGGACGTTTATGGCCTGTAGGAGGTGTGGTCCTTGTACAGAGCTTTCAGAACAGGCTTTTCGTCACTGGGTTTGGATCTCTGAAAAGCCTCAGGTCCTGCCCCCTTTCCAAGTGCTCACGCCAAGGTATCTGAGTCTTTTCGGCTCAAACCTGCTGTTCCGGCATACGCTTCTTGAGTTTCTGTTTCTTGGAGCTAGGCACCGTAATTTTATTGACTGTACGTAGTAGTTATCAATGACTTTTTAGTTTCTTTCTTTAATTTCTCTCTCCCTTCTTTTTTCAATCGTGAAGGCCAACTGTGTTGGCATTTTTCTTGGGACTTTTACCAGTTTGAGGAATATTTTGTCTTACAGTATTTTGTCTTTAGTGTCACTTTTGGATTAAGAATCACCCGTATAATTCTAGAACTTATATTTGATAATGCTGCTTTGGTTTTTTTTTTTGGCCCTTCTGTTCTCAGGATGGAGAGACCACATAAAGCTATTATCCATGTCAGGATTTCTTCTATTTATATCTTACTACAATAAAATAGTGGCACTTTACTCATAAATATTCATGAGCCTGTTAATTACTGGTTGTCTTCCTGTAGTTTAATCAACAAGTTGTTTTCAACTTGGTTTTCTGACTAGTGAGAAAGCTTTTTCCCTGATGTATTAGGCAGCCTTTAAAAGAATGGAAAAGGACTAAAATCCAGCTTAGACTATTTTTTGCAGTATTTTTCTCAACACATTTGATTTATTCTAAAAATGAAATCCAGACTTTTTCTAATATGATATTACAGGAAAAGGAAAAAGTGACTATTTTGAATTGCCAGTTTTCATTTTCAGAAAGTATTTACAAAACAAACAGAGATAGACGTTTAAATGCATACTTCATGACTATGAATTTTACATTTTAAAGTAGTTACATGTTGTAAAGTCATTTTAAATTGTCCCAGTCCCCCGCCCCAATCCCGTGCATATTTAGTTTTAATTTCTGACAAGCTTTTTCTTCATGTCATAGGTCAGGCAGAGGGGCTGAGGTTCCTCAGGACCGCACATTAACCGCACACACACGACGTGGTTGATTTCCCATTGTTAGCGCCAAACTGTAAGATTTGGTCACTTAGGTTTTTCTTTGGTGAAAGTACACTGTTGGAGAATTAGCGTCTTCATTTCAGTAAATTTTTAGAGTATCAAAAGCTTTTCTGAGCACCAAGTGGCTAGGTTGTGAACGTTTTGTAATAATTTGCAGCTGAAATACACAATCCATTTTAATTCATTGAAGACTCGTGGGAATGTATCATCCAGGTAGCAAGTAATTTTTGTTTTCCAAAGCGGAGTCTCTGTCTGTCATCCTGCAGTATTACCAATGCTGTTGTAAATTGAATTTAAAGTGGTATTAAAACAAAAACCTCCTGGTAAACAATTTTTATCTGTTTGTATATCTTACTATAGATTATGTACAAGTAACATCTAAATAAAATTACACTTTTAACCCTAAGCACTTTGGCTTACTTGTAACAGTGTTGTCAGTTTAACCGTCTTTAGGGGGGAGAGGTTGGGGATGGGACGCGATTTTTAATTAGCATTTCCATTATTAGATAACAAAGATGCCTTTCTGATTTCCATTGAAATTTCTACACAGTTGTTGAGTAACCACGAGTTCAGGTTGGAGTCTGTACGTGACTTGGGAAAGCACTGGTGTTGTTAGAAAGAAAAAGAGCCATTCCCGGAGCGGAAAGCAGTGCCTCCAAGACAGGTGTCTTGACCACATCTAGTCTCAATCATAGTGACTAATACTGCGTAGCACTGATGACTCCTGAGATGCTTCCACTTGCTCCGTAATAGTGTCCTTTAGAAGGGGCATTCTCTGTCCTGTATGTGAGGGGACAAGAGTGGAGCGGAGGCACCAACTCAGGAAAGGGCCTGGGTGGACATGAACCACACGTGGGGGCAGCGGTGCAGGGGGGGTGAAGGAGGGGAGCTT